ACCAAATAATTGATTGCCAATTCAACCGGTAACCTTCAGGCCTCACCGCCGACAGCATGTTCAGCCACATACTGTGCAGAGCCTCAAGTCGCTACAATGTTGTTTATATGTGTTTGTTATTTAAGTTAAATTATTCAGACTATCTTTCCTGTCCAGGTCGGTCTGTGTTCATTTTGTAAGCGTGTTGGAAACAACAACAGTGTGTTGTTAATGCTGCACTAACGCAAGCAAAGCTTTTCTATGACGTGCCCCGATGTTATGTGAAAAAACGTGTAAAAGGCCAGATGATTTGCTGCTTTAGAAAAAAAAAATATCCCGAGGGCGAGCAGCTCATTTGTCACTGTATTTTGTACATAATTTTTCGCATTTGTTTTCGTGCTGTACTGGATACGCTGTGAAACAGGGTTTAGGCTTTGTGTACTCGTCTAAAAAAAAATGTGTTTAGTCCTCATAGAAAATATTTAGTTTTGTATTGATCAATTTAATTTATTTATCTGTTTCTGGAGTTTATGTACATTCGGTGAAAAGTTTCAAAGGCAGTAAAATATGATTTAAATTATGTCAAGCACTGTGTCTGATTGACCCCCCCCCCCCCCCTCTTCACCCCCTTGCCTGTGAAAAGTAATGCTTCAGCGTCGTGCAGCTTTAATGCGAGCTGACACAAAGCCGTATCATGTTGGCCACTTTTGCACAAAGCCAGTGAATGCGCGTGTGTGAACAGCAAAAAAGGCGCCTTGTTTAGATTTATGGTCATGTTTAGAATTCAGCCCTACATGTGTTTGCGCTGCCCTCTGGTTGCAGATGTTGCCAAACCTCTGGAGCAAATCATAAGCCTGGACTTCTATCATAAAATGTCGTCTGATTTGCTTACGGAAGTGTCTGAAGGTAGAATTTAAATTCAGATAGTCTTAAGGTAAAAATCCATACGTTTCTTTTGTCCCCTTTAAACTGACCTCATTTAATGGTAAATCTGGTTTGACAAAGCTGATCTCCCAGGTTTTATCTTCGATGATGCTGCAGGACAGAGAGCATTCTGTGTGAAGTGAATAATTGTGCAAGAGGCAGCTGCCCCCATCCAAAGAAATAGAAAAAAAGAAGAGGAAAGGTGTGGATGGTGAGCATGCTGGACGGATCAGAGACCAGTGAAAGTGAAAACATCAAAGGCTTTTTTGATTGGTAAAAATACTCGCATAGCTTTTGTTTTCTCATTTGGCTTTCTCCGATTCATAGATTTGAAAAAAAAAAGAGTGCACTTATTTACACATGGGGGAAAAACATTTTTTTTTTTGTTTGTTCTGATTTTTTAAGTTTCTAGAGCACTGTCCATTTCACGGCCCCCAAAACGGAACCAAATGTTGCCTTGAATGCGTAAAAATGACACATATCAGATCCACAACTCCAAAAATCTGTTAAAACACGAGGTGAATGATGAGGAAAATACGGGGTAAACAGATAGAAAATGCATCAACATTTTTAATTATACTGTTGGTCTGGAACATTTGTGTCAAAAATGGAAAAAAAGGGAAAAAGTGGGACCATGAATATGAAAATACGCTGTTATTATAGTCTCCAATTGGAGGTCATTCATAATAATAACAGTAATAATAATAATATTTTGATTATTACTATTTTTCATTCAACAACTGCACATACTTAAAGCGAGAAAAAAGATTTAGAATAAGAAAACAGGTTCGCGTTTATTTTCCTCCTCTCATGTCTCCTTGTTATTCGCGAATACGAATTCTGGACCCTATACAATCTCTTGTCTAAGGCCTTACAGCTTCACCAGACCCATGTATGTTTTGATACAACTAAGAAAGCAGCCGTGAGTAGAAATCTGCCCGAACCATAGTCCCAGAAAGGCGCAGCTGCACACCCAAGAGGGTCAGCGTTATTTCGCTGTATTCTCCTCTTGATTATACGAGCTAAGCCCATCAAACCCAGCATAATTACAGTAATTTCGCCCTTATTTATTCTAATGCAGTTTCCTATCTCTGAGGTAATTATGCGCAATTTTTTTTTTCTCGCACCGAGGATCTTTCTGCCTTAACAAAAGAGATAGTGCTCTGAAAGAAATCCCTGCTGCAATAGAAAAAAAAAGAAAAAGAAATAGGTGAGCTGCCATCTCCACACTCTCCCCTTAGACTAAGCCTATGCATACGACTGACAAATTGCTTGCAGGTGTACATCAACGAGTTGTCAATGCGAAGAAGCTTCAAAATGAGCAAGGCACAATGTCAGAGTAACGAGTTGTGTCTCCCTTTCCTTCCATGTCTCCTCGGTGGGAGCAGCTTTCCCAGCTACAGGAGTTTTGCACAAAAGAAAATCCTAGATACACACGAACAACGCTTTAAAAAAAACAACAACAAAAAACTTGCTTTTCCAATGTGTCCTTTTAAGGATTTGGCCTTTGATTGTTATCTATTAAATTCAGAGAATCGACAACCTAACGAAAAAGAGAACAGAAAAAAAGCATTTTCGACGATGAAATAAATCGATCAATTGTGCAAAGTCTGTTTCCCGTCTTAAATGAATGGTCCAAAATGCATTAAGTCCTCCCACTAAAATGTAAGAAATAAACACCGAGCACGCACCTTTCATCTTAAAATAGATGCTCCCTGTCGAGATTTGCAGAGATCAACATGGAGGCAGATGAGCAGAAGCATCCTGCGGTTGCAGACACAAGATCAACGTTTAAATCCCACAAAATGTGTCCCATGTGTCGGTCCAAGCTTTAGCAGCAGAGTTCAGAATATGACTGAAAATGTCTGCTTTATTTCCCCTCTTTATAGCCGATGGAAAAAAAATTGTAGATTATTAGCATAAATGTTTACTCCTCATTACGCTGATGACATTGTGCACTCGAGATCTTGGTAATCTTTGGGGGAAATTATGAGTAATTTTTTAAAATTTAAAGCAGCAGTTACCATGCAATTCAGGCTAATTCCGCGTAGGCTCCACACGGATATAATTATCGTTGAGTCAAGATGTTAGGCTAAAAACTATGCATTGATATTCCCATTTATTATGTACATACAACTTTGACAATGTTGATGCTTGAAATAGCGGGAAATTGTCTTGTGTAAAAATTACACCCCATATTAGGACATCTGAAATTGCGAAGAATTATATAGTAATTGCAGGCTTTCAGATTTGAAAGCTAGAATGCTCCAACCAGAGCAAATGTGGATGAAATTACAGATCAGGGCTTAAATGAGGATAGGGGGTATGGCATTTACAAGTTGCAGAGAAATGCAAAAAAATAAATAAATGAATACATAAAAATGTAAAAAATGCCAACAACACTGCCTCTAATCCATGAATGAAATCACAGTAAGAAAAAAAACACATCCATTTATCTCTTTTTTTGTCTGATCATTTAATCAGGAAGCAGCTGATGAATTAAATCTGTGAATTGTATGGCTCTTATTCAGAACCAGGCTGGCTGCTCATTCGGTCGCAGACCTGTCATTCTGCACATCCTAATGCTCCTACATGCAAACACGAGTTGACAATGAACTGCATTCGTTGAAGACTGAACATGGTCTACATGTGCATACATGTGTTCGTGCACAGCCCAGGCCGGCTGCATGCCTGGGGGCTTGTCTAATGCTGTCAGCCCCCCGGGGGGTGGGGTGAGGGGGGGGGGGGAGGCTTCATCATGCAGATGTAGCAACCGCTGACAAGCTACAGTCCTAATTATGTACAAGGAAACGATCCCACTTTATGGCCTGTGGTCGTTTGAAGGGAAGCGTGTGGGATAGGGAGTGGATGAGAACTCACATCAAGTACAGCTAAAAAATACGAGTCTGATTCTGGCTTTTGGAGCCATAACATCTGAATAATGTGGTTTTTACAAATGGAAATAAAATGGCCCTCGGTTTTATGATATAGTCCATAAAGCGTTTAAAAACAAAATAATACTTTATTTGGTATAAAACATTTTCCTGGCAGGGAGAAATCGGTGCCCCTGGACTTACGCCTGCTCTCCCTGCAGCCCAGAGGATTTACATGAGCCACGTGAATAATGTGGGTCAACCTGCTCCTCTTCAGAGATCAGAGACTCGACTTGCTGTGAGACGTGAGAAATGTTTCCATGATGCTCCGTGGCTCTAGGCTGTCTCGGATCCGGTTCTTGTGTCTTTCCCTCTTGTTAGGCTGAGTTCATAAAACGCCTGGAAAGCGGCTCTCTGACTCCACGGAGTCTGAGGAGCCTGTGCTGGCTCCACCGCCTCCCCTCTTCTCCCCTCTTCTCCCCCTCCGGCGTGCCAAGGCGTGTTGCTGCCGTGCTGCGTTCAGGGCCGCCCCGGCCTGTCTGCTCTGCCCCGGCCTGTCTGCGCGCGAGGGGCTCCACTGACGGAGGCGGGTGAAGCGAAGTGAGGAATTATTTGAATGCCTGTCATTTAACTCATAAATGCTCGTAAAATAGCTTTAAAAAAAGTTCCTACACATATTTATTAGCGATATTAGCACAGTTAATGTTTCCTAAGTGAGCAGAAACGACAGTCTATTGGTAAACCTCGGCCAGAGCTTAACCAGCTGCAAAACAGCTAAGTAGCATGGCTAGCAGTTAGCATGATAGCATTGCTAGTTTAGGCCGTCTGTTTGTTTGTCTGTCTGATACGTTTTTTCGTTTTTTTTGTTTTTTTTGCATTCTGTGGATAAAAAAGTTAATTAAATACTAATAAATAGATACGTCTGATGCCTTTACGAGGTTGTGACAGGTTGCATCAGGTGTTCAGTAAAGATAAATTAAAATGGCCTACAAAAATGTCCAAACCAAATGTCGAAATATCAAGAAATTGTTGGCAGCTCATTAAAAACATTTCTAATTCTGAACCATAGCTTTTAAGAAGAAGGAAAAAAAACTTTTTTTTTTATGAAATAGGCCACCTCTGGACACCTGTAACCATGTAACTAGCTATTCAGAAATAATCCCACCTGCGCAGGCAATAAAGCAGCATAAACATTTCACCATAAATTGCAAATTGAATGCAGATTCACGAAAACATTTTTATTTAAATAACGTCTGGCCATATATTGAACACCGCTAAAATAAATAAGACAAAAATACAATTAAGTTGAATAGACAAGCAGGTAAATCAGAGGATGGGACAATCAGTAGCTTACGGTGGCAAACGGATTTGCATCTAACAGCCTGATAATGAGTGAAAGCGAAATGGGCTATCAAAAAAATAAAAAATAAAAAGCTGCGGTAAAACTATTTACAACGTGTGACAAGACACTTTATATTGAAATCAACAAGAGAGGAATGAATAAAGGTAAAATGTTTTTTTAAACAAAATGAGGTCATATTGAAAAAGGCACGATACAGTTTACTTGTGCTACATCTGTGACAGGTCGTCCTGCTGTCGACGTTTCATTTTGCAGGAATGAAAAAGAAGGAGAGGAAAATGACGTCCGCATAAAGGTAGGCTGGCGCCCACGGCTGTGATTGCTTTGGGTTACAGTGGTTCATTCATCCCTCGCATAAACAAAATAAATAAATACAAAAATAACTGTAGAAATCTGTGTCTATCATCCGGCAATTGGTCCATGAACCTGACTTGCAACATTCATTTCTCCTAAAATTGTGTGTGTAAATGCGCACACGTGGTCTATAAAATGATGCTATTGGCATTTTACTATCATTGTCCCGTTAAAACCCAATGTTTTTTTCTCCTTTTTCTTTCAGATATATTTCAGAAAATGGCCCCGGCGCTGATGGCGGCGTTGTGGTGATGCTGGACCAGAGGAGGCTGCAGATGCGTCGTAGAGTTCGTGGTGTACCAGGAGTAGTTCGCCAAAAACGAGGAAGGCGCCGTCGTGTTAGGGGGACTGGAGCTCTGAGGTAAACTCGAGCTGACGCTGTTCATTCTCTGAGTCTGTGGAAATTCCCAGGCAGTGGTCGGCGGAGAAGTGCACGGGGGAGATTCGCTGGAAGCAACATGTTGTTCTGGGGGGATTTCTCCGCTTTTCCACAGCTTCTTGAACTTGGAGCGGCGGTTTTGGAACCAGATTTTGACCTGAACCAGACACAGATAGGCATAAAATTGACTCTCCGGCTTAAATACAAAACCAAATCTGTCAGTTTACATTTGAGTCGATATGTGTCACGGACTGACCGTCTGACAGCTCACTACCCACCTGTGTTTGCGTAAGGCCCAGCGATGCCGCCAGCTCGGCCCGTTCTGGTAGAGCCAAATACTGCGTCTTCTGAAACCTCCGTTGAAGTGCAGCCAGCTGGAAACTGGAGTAAATAGTTCGAGGTTTCCTGACCTTCTTTGGTTTTCCATTAACCATCCGGATTTCTGGCTCGCTCTCTTCTTTCTCTGATGGAACATTTAAAGGCAGTTGACGTTAGAAATACTTGGTTCTGCAGTTTTTCACTCTTGTACAGATTTTACGCACACATGCAGCGCCATCCATTTATGATTGATTTGTGTACACGTGTCATAATTATTTTAAAGGGTATAAGAAAAATTGTCTTCTCTTCTCGGGAGACGCTGTAAACATTTTCTATTTTTTTAAAATAAGTAAACCCATAAAACCCATAAAAACTTCACTGTAGAGTTTAACGCATTTAAGGGGCGTATCTGTTTGTCTAATAGTCCTGATTTTCGGGCAGATAGGCAAATAGTTTTGTCTATCAAATACTGAGCAAATAACTAAATTGCACCTCAAGCTGTTCCACGGAAAAACACAAAGTTAAGGCGTTCAAAACTCGGTGTGAGGGCTTTCTTACCTGTGTCAGCTGGCGTGGGAGAGGAGTTGGAGCCGTAAGAGCTGTATGCAGTATAGGATGAGTTGAAACCCAGGTCGTAGGACTTTGTGTTGTATGGCACAGAGCCTGCGGCGCTGCTGTGGTACTGGTAAGAGCCGAGTTGGCCAAACGGAGATCCGGCGCAGTGGCCGGGCTGCTGGCTGTTGTAATAGCTGCTGTCGGTAGCCGTGGACACTGGGAGCGTCGGGGACTCCTGCGATTTGTGCAAGCTGTGATAATTATTTGAGGTAATTTGGTTCGAATGCATATCGGTGTTTAAGTTCTCAAAAACTCCCGTCATCTTGGGACTTGGAGCCGAGCGGGCTGGAAACCTACGCGCAAAAGTCGCCAAACTGCGATGTTGCTGGAAGAAAATACGAGTCGACTCTTGAATCTTTTCGTGAATCAGAACGCATCCCGTGTGCACCTTGGCGAAATCGGTGGAAGGTGTGCCCGTCTCACAGTGGCCTGCGATTAGCCTGTCTGCTCCACGGTCGCCTGTGGGAGCGCATTTATGTGAGAGTGAGAGGGAGAGTTGATGTGTCTGAGGCAGCCAATGAGTAAGGGCCGCACCACTGACTACTCCCCACCGCGTCCACCCTCCATTATCAGCTCAGGTCTGCCTGTCCTGGTTGTCTGCCCACACTTTGCCGTCAAAGCATACAATTTAGAAATGTATTTGCCACAAACCTGCAAGTAACTAAAAACCGCTTTCGTGCAATTCCTGTAATTCCTTAATGCATTCAGTAGTAAGATTATAAAAATAATTGACGTGACGGATGAAAAAAGTATTAATGTGCAGCACGAAATTAATTACTAGCAGCTTTGTGACTACTTCGACCAGTTTAATGCTCGCAACGGATATTGGGGCATACATTTGGAGAACTGTGGTGTATTTGGACATTTTGTGGAAGACAAAAGTGTTGAAATCACGTAGTACCAACAATTCTGGTTAGAAAGAAACACAGATGGACAGGACAGATTTGGCCAAACGGGGACATGAGGCTTCATGGACACGGCTACAGCGCCCCCAGCTGTTTTCAGAAAAGAAGTATAACTCTTCGTGGATTCCCTGATTTACACGTTTGACTGAAAAGTACCAAACGCCACAAGATGGCGGTATAATTCCTTCTTTTATTACTCAGAAAGAATTTTCTCTGTGCAGATGAAGTAAATGCACTTACATGAAATAGTTACATGATTAGATTTAAATTGAATGAATGAATGGGTCTGTTAAACCTATCAAGCTCCCACACAGGGAAATCTCCATCTTTTATGCATATTATCATACAGTCATAAGGACTTAAAAGCTTTGGAAAAGCTAAGACTAGAGGGAATTTCCTCTGGAAAGAGCATAAGTACTGATATTTTTAGCCAGTGGTCTGTAGTGACTTCACGACAGATACAGTTAACACATGTTCCCACTGTATAGTAAACTCCAGAGAATAAGTATTGCTCCATGGAAGAAAAACAAAAGTAGGGATGTGGGGATCCTTAGCCTACAGGAAAGGCCAAATCCCAGAGAGGTCTCTGTATCATGTGTTTTTTCTCAGTCATTTAGAAGAACTCACATTTAGTTGTGATTTGGCTATTTCTACGCCCAAAGACAAGAGCATTCCCTGAACTTGTTTTATCCGACATAAAAAGAGCTTCATATGCCCTTAATGGTGGCATGACTTGTATGATGTAAAATGAAATGCCCATGAAAACCAAACCGATGACTTTCTATGATACTGTGTAAAACTGCGAGGCACTACTTTTCACTGTTCTGATTCAATAGAGTATCGTTCAGCTTGGTTAATGTCATCCTGCACCCATAGTCATTTAGTATTTAGTTTCTGCTATGTCGGGTTTTGACCTTCAGCTCCAGGTCAGGGATGGTTCTAACATCCCATTGTTTTCCTAAAATGCAAGCAGTCCACTTCCACCATGGGCCAACGTATCTGCATGTCACTCCTCATTAGTGAGACAAAGTCTCTTCATTTAGCACTTTTCCGTCAGAGCTACAGCGAGCAACAATTCTCCACAGAGAATCACTCAAAAGAGGTTTTTTTCTCCCTAGAAAAAGTACTCATACACTTAACAATGGCGATCACATTTGTCTTAAGTTATCATGCATTTTCAGCCTGAACCAAAAATATAGATGCGTAGATACTCCTACCGACTAATTTCCTTCCCTAAACTACTTGTGTTTTCATGCTGGCCCTGCAGTAACATGATCATAAATGCTGCAGAGCAGCTGGGATTGGATATGTTCATCGTTAAGTCATTTGAAAGTAATGCCAAATGGCAGCTATCATCACTAGTATAAATTCCTTTTTGGATAGAAGGTTTTCTTTACCTATCTTTGGCACACCAATGAAAAAAGCTGCAGTGATAGAAACAGCCAACATTTAGTCTTTCTCCATCATACAAAGGGAGAAACCTTACTTAAAAACATTAGTCTTTGTCAGCTGCTCTGATATCAATAATTCAAACTTATTCAGGCTAAAATAAACATCTATTATTGATAGATCATGAAATTTGGCATTGCCTGTCTTGTCTGTAGTAATACAGTTCAGTTACTATGGAAACCCATGAAATGATCTCTGTGTGTTATTTAATGTTTGATTTCATAATACTGAAAAGACTTGTGATTGTATTCAACTTTATTCTTTTGTCAGAAATTACAATTTACTATTTGTCATTGAAAACATACTCTAGTTACATTTAGCCCATTTAACCAAAAACCTAAAAGACTGTGACTCTATGTTTACATAGTTTGGTGTTGTTACCAACCTGAGAGAATTCAATTCAGGACTCTACAAGAGGTGGCTCTTGTCAGAAGAGGAATCTGTACCAGCTTTTCATGGTTGAACTGAAGAAATTTAAACAGTGCTATCAGACCTGAACCCCGACCGCACATATTCAGATAGCATATTTTTTAGCTTTCTAAAGGAGAAGCTTTACGTATAAGAAATTTCAATACTGACGGATGATTAATCTTTAGGATTTTCCACAATAAGACCTTTTACTCCAAAGAGTCTGTCTGACTTCCTGAAGAAGGCTTATTGTTGACCCACAGTAAAGTATTTTTTTAATCAAAGTAATAATGCCAAAAAAAACCTTTGAAGGACCTTTGTTTTAAGCGATTACCGGGAGTTTTTCTGTCAACAAAGACAAAATACAACCGTTAAGTCAATCTAATCACCACTGTCAGTAAACACTGAATTGCAGACTCTGCACCATGGTTTTCTTTTAAAAAGACCATGAAACGCGTTCGAATGAACATAAATATTGGTTGATATTGACATCTTGTCTTGAGAAATCAAAGTGCACAAACAGGAAGTAACTTTAAAAGATAACTGCCCTGACATTTTGTCATCGATCTTGGGTGTCTGCTATCTTGTTTTGTGCCGCAAAAGCTCAAATAAGAAAAAAAAAGCTCAGTTACTCCAAATGATAGACCACTTGCCTGCACAGTCACAGCGAAGGAAACATTAAGTCAGGGTCCTAAAAAGAGTGATAGAAAATCAGCACAGCCGCAAAGTGAGAGAAATGGCAGGAGGACAGTATGAAATAAACTAGAGGCAAAGTCCAGTATACTCTGCATTATTTTTATAAAACAGGTGTTTGTGCAGTAATCAGAGTTGTATTTTGTTGACTGAAGACGGCACAAAGTTCCGAGGGCAAACACAAGTTTTACGCTTCAAATTGCGATTTTATGCAAAGATTTTTCTACAGCTTCTGGTTTTAAGTATGAATATCTTTTCAGATTCTCACACTTCTGACAGTGGAAGGCAGTTTCTGGCTCTCATGGACCATATTTTTATAGTGATGATGACCAATGGATCACCGTATTTAGATAAAATTTCTATCGAAAAACGTAGTGTTTTGGATGTTTGATGGATCATTGTCATCTAAGTTTCCGTTTTATAATCTTCTCATGTTGTTATTTAGCAATATTACACATGTAATCTTCATCGTCTTAACGTGAGTTGTTGTTTCATTAGATTTATAGAGTAAAATTAATTTTAATTTAATGAAGTAATTGAAAGGCAGTTTGGCTGTATAAATTCCTTTACAACCCTATTTGCTTTAATCTCAACTACACTGAATCAAATAAAAGTTTGCTCAATTTCAATTTCAAAGTTTGTTTTACATAAGCCCAAAACTGCTACACAGAAGATAAAGGAGATGGTTAATTTACTGCACCTCAGGTCAGTGAAATTTCTCGTATTCATTACAATAGCTGCTTTCTTTAGTTGGCTGATTTGTCTGTTGATTTTCTTACCAGATTTCCTGCTGGGCCAGTTGAAACAGTCAGTTCATCACCTTGGAAACGCACCCTTTAGCTTGAATCACATTACTGCTAGTTTTTCAACCAGGGCTTATAAAATGCTTTCACACAAACCAGGGCATCAGCAGGAGGTTTATTTCTTCCTCCATTGTTCCCGAATGGTTTTCGGCTCTCAGTGCAGAGTCAGAAATTAATAATTCCTGAATGCGCTCATCTCATATGTTCCTTGCAAACGTGGAAATGATCTACCAACTGTTTCTTGACCTCTGTGTTCCAACGGTTGGCCATGTTTGGCTCCGGACACGAGCGGCGTTGAAGTTGGAAACCTTCTGCAGGGTGTTCATGACTGAGCATGTGTTTCCTTGCAATTAGTCATGGTGGCTTTTCCCCTTAAGAGAAGCTATTTTTGACAACAAAGGCCTTAATGACGAGCACATTCAGACAAAAACAATTGAGAGGAAGTGTTTAAAATTGAGCTCACAACAGATGCAAAGGTTAATGTTTAATGCCCCACATGGGGATGATCTGTGGAAAAGGTCATTGTTATGTTTGTGTAAGAATTGCTCAGAATCTTCTCCTTATCGATAGATATACCAAAGGACATCGACATGTCCTCTGCCAGTCCTAAAGAAACTACCTGCATTTAGTGTTCTTTGTTTTTAGAAGTAAATGCTTCTTAGGACATTGCAAATGCTCTCAAAACCATGAATGAAGAGACATGAAATTCTGAAATAATGAATACATTTTTCTTCCCTATGTGAAAACATAATCATCAACCACATCTCTAGGTTTCTCTTTGAACCGCCCTAAAAGTTGTGGTTTTCAAAGGCAGTGCCTGTTGTGTAATATGATTGACATGATGGCAATATATCCTGGAGGGCAAGAATTCGCTCCAAAGCGGAAATGATTTTTCATTTTGCTGGACTAACAAAGGAATCCCCAGAATTCCCCATGTCGTCCGCCCAGCCTGGTCAGAGAAAGAATTCAGAGAGGTCTGCGAGGTCCTGCTCTCTTCATTGTTGGTTCAGTGGCACACACCCCCACCCAGGAACCATAAATGGAAGCCATCCTTTGTGCAGGGGGCGAGGAGCAGATTTACTGCGGATAGGCTCTTCACAAAGGGCTGCTGCACTGTCACAACAGGACCAGGATCAGCTGCTCCAGCGTTCACACAGCGTGGTTTAACAGCCAGCTTTACACGGCCACTGATGCAGACACAACTCCTCTTATCACTCA